TAACCACGATGCACTTCTTGCCAGAGGTTCACAGATACGAAGCGCTCGGTGCAGGCAGAGTTTATTTGCAGGGACGCTAAGCGACTCCCATTTGTGTCAGATGTGTATCCATTCGACTATGACTATGACCTTCCGGATGCATTGCAAGAGCAGTTAGCTTGCTCCCAAGATCAATCCCGCCTGAGCCATCTGGGCAAATGCTCTGACGAACGTGATCCTTCGTGTCATTTCCGAGGCAGCTTTTTACCAAGAGCTTCAGGAAACCAAGGAAACCGCCTCTTGCACAAAGTCAATCCTAATGATGTGGATCTCACTTCAGCCTTGAAGGAGCGTCAGCGTCGTGCAGAGCGTGACAACAACGAGCTTGTGCGATATTTGGCGGTTTGGTGCTCACCGTTTCTGGTAGCTCACACCGTGTGTCTCTACTTGCTGTGGATTATTCACGAAGCATCTCAATGTGCACCGAGCTAGAAGTCAGAGGACCATTACCTGAGGCCCTGCTGGATGACCCTGACTGTTCAGACCAACAGCTTATAGATGCACGGGCAGGCCATGTTTGTGATTGGACTGCCGCTGCGAAGTTATGACGGCCGCAAATGCAATGGGTTTTCTAGCCTAGAGCGGTCTGAGGATATCTTCTAAGTACCGTCGGAGCTGTACAGTCAGACTAAAGCATCTAGAATGTTGACGTTCTAATGCTGCATGGGCATGTTCCCTGCATAGGCTTGCCAGTCTCACATACGTTTGTCAACGCTCTGGGTAACGTACACCAGAGCAACTTTCACTTCCTCAAGTCTGCAAGCATAACACCGGATGGACCGTCCAGACCTAAGCGTTTCTATGATAATATTAAGCCGGCAATCAAAGCAAGAAATGAGGGAAGGCTGTCAACGAGGAGGGTCATTTCATGTTTTCCAAACATTTCTGGCCACCAAGGGCGTGACTGTACTCTGTTCCCATCTGTGCCATTACTGTGTTGAGAAGGCAGGTCACATTTTTGAAATTACGGTGCCATTTTTTCATCCAAGCTTATGCTAGATTACGCTAGTAATAGTTCACAGTGTTTCCCTACAAGGACAACAATTGTGCATCAGCAAGTCCAGTTCAGATATCACTGCGTTCGCCCTCAAGTATGTCTTTCACCGCGAACAATTTGCTCGCAACCGTTGAACAAATTCGCGACGTTTGTTCAGGCTCTGCGAAAGCAGCTGCAGCAAAGCAGAAACCATCGACGCTCACGCTCGAACAGTAACCTTCATTAAACAAACACACACACACACAAACACATTTTGTGATGCAATTTGTTGAGGGTTTGCAGCTCGCGTAATGCATGACACTGAAAGTATTTGCGCTATGCAAAGGACGAATCCATTAGACAGTGCTACGTTTGCAAAGAAGGGCTTCAACGCTGCCTCAATTCAGGGTTGTTTGTACTGAGCCGCCCGTTTACAGCATCCCCTCCAATCGCCAGGATCCAGCAAAGCCGAGGAGAAGGTGCCAAGGCCTTCCTGTCTGCAGCAGAAGCACAGGCAGTGGATATGAGTTCGTAGATGCTGAGTCAACTGGAAGCAAGAGGCCGATGCCACCGGTGCAGAAAGCAGCCGACACGCAGACCTCAGAGGCGAGCGCGGTGAAGGGAGTGTGTTCGCCTTGGTTCCAGTGTTGGGGTGCAGGTGTTGCCGCCGCCGCCTCCAGCCCCTGGGCCATCACAGGAGTTACTGTCCAAGCCGCTGGCTAGCTGCCCAGATCAGTTGTCCGCTATTCAGACAACGTGCAGATGTATGCACTCAGAAGCACAGGTCAACATCACATTCGGCAACTCCCATCCAGATGGGAGCCCGTGCCTCAGGTGAAGGTGCGACGAGTGTGACAGGTGTCTGAAGCTCTGAGCCAGGCCAAGGTGACTCCAGGCCGCCCCGAACCTCTGAGCATGTGCTGACGGACATCGGGCTCTGGGTTGGTGTAGAAGCCTGTGCATTGCCAACCAGTGCCAATGACAGCGCTTGCTGAAACCGTGCCTGCATCTGCCAGGAGTCGATTGCATCTCTCTTGCCCATGGCCTTCCGGCATCTTTTTGACCGACCTCAGCATGTCGAGCAAGAGAGGTGGATCCTGCAAGTTTAGGTGCTCAGCTTGTTTCGAACCATCCATTTTTTGAAATCCGCTAAACATGAGATCCTTCAAGGGGATGAGAGCCGAGCGTAGCAGGGCTAGTTTGCTTGCACAAGCGACTTTTCGAAGACTCTGACATTTGTAGAAGGGGTGTCACACATCCTTGCTGCAGCTTCGCGCGCCACACCTTTCCATGTCGTGGTTTGGGCATCTGTGGTGCATGTCTGTGAATTTGATACCTTCGTGATGGTTCCCAGAGCGCCAGGCAGCAGCTCCAGCAGCAGCTCCTGCAACAGCAGCAACAGCTCCAGCAATTGCAGCAGCAGCAGCTTCAGTTGCAGATGCACATGAGTCAACAAAGTCAAGGTGCGGGCCCTGGAACCTGTCCGACCTTAGACAAGCAGTTCTCATGAATCTTCAGGACAGCCAAAAGCTTCAACGCCAAGGCAGCCATCCCAGCACCTTGCCTGCCCTATGAAACACGTAAGCATCGAAAGTGAACCTGTCTGCATGCTGACTTCTAACGAGCATCCTACCCATGCTCTCGATCAATGAAACGCCTTCGATTTAAAGCAACAAGTTTTGGCCAAATTAGGGAGTTCCAGACCAGTTTAAAGGCAGAGGCATGTTTTGGGCAGGAAAATCTCTGGAATTAACGCCAAAAAGTTACTGTGCCCCCAAAAAGGTTTTAGATTAGGTTTAGATTTTGGAGCCTCAAGGGCCAAATTGGGATGATGGCTGCTCTTAAGCTGAGAACAAAAGAGCTGATTCTGAGACCTGATTTGCTGGTTGAATTCAGTCTCACTGAGCTACCCCTTACGGACCTGCCGTGAGAGGAGCTGTCTTTACATCCATTTAGAACCTCCAGAGAATCACGGCGTTACACAGCAAGCTCTAGAGGAAAGTCAATTAGGCACGGAAAAAACACCGGAAATCGGCCGGCAACAACTTACAACAAGTGGCTCCTACTGTGCGCGCGGAAGCTCAGAAGTTTTCGCGGAAGGACTTCGCTTGCGGAAGCTCTTGCGGAAGCTCTTTTTTCATTACGCTCGGGTTTTGGACAGATAACGCCGAAGACTAGAAATTCCTTTCGTGGAAGCGCCGCGGAAGCACCTTAGGCAAAACGTCCGCGGAAGAGCCCGCAGAAGCGGAGGACTCGAGGAAGGTCCGCGGAAGCTCGCGGGTGGAAGCTTCATTTTTTCTATCAGATTTATATATATCTTTTTCTAAACCGCTCAATGTGTTTCAGGGTCATCAGTTTCGCAACAGTTTGACAAAGGCCTTATTGCTAGGCTGTTCTCAAAATCAGAAAAATGAAGCTGATTCGGAAACCTGACTTGCTTAGTAAGGCTGCTTATTAAAATTCATTGGACACTAAAGGCTCAAACATTGCTTCCTCGGCTGCCCCTTACAGGCCTTGCTTTAGCTCCGCCCCTCCACTCCGCTCCTCTCTCCTCTTTCTCTCTGTTCTCTCTCTCGTCTCTCCTCACGAAGGTCCAAAAGTGACGACAGTTACGAGGATGGCGACCCGACACGTCCCATCCCTGTGACAGTTAACACTTTAAACGCGACACGAACAGGAAACGCCAAAAGCATCGACACTTACGAGTTCTGTTCCATGAAATAAGCATTTTTGATCCGAAAAGGAAAATTAGATCATGCTAAGTACAAGTAGTACAGTTCAGCCGAAATAGTGTGAGCTGCGCAAGAGCGAGAGTGTGACTTAGAGGGTTCAGAGGAAGAAGCAGGAAGCAGGTTGGTCTTGAGTTGAACTGATTTGTTTTGCATTTGATTTTAGTTGATTGGTGTTAAGATCTTCTTCAAGTTTAAATGTTAACAGGCTTTATTTGGAGAATGAGCTGTTATTTTACTAGATTTACATGTTTTTCCCTGAATGCTCTGCAGAAGGGCTCCCGTTTCGAAGGTTGGGGTCCAGAAGGTGACCAAACATCGTTGCTTTTGTGTCCGCAAGCGTTCGCAAGCGTTCGTGAAGCTTCCGCGAGTGTCCGACAGAGTCGCAGGAGTGTTGCGACCCCGTTGGAACCCCCCGAGGGTCACGATTCCTGTGTTTGTCGTCGCTTTTGGCGTCTAGCGTGTCAAAAGCTTAACCTGAAGAGTATATGCGGAGACTGGCAACTGGACAATTACCAAGAGCGAATGGAATGCCCGCCAACAGGCGATCGCTTTTGGATCAGCTCCGAGCTGAGCTCGCGGCCGAAAAAAATCAGGTTTCTGCAGCGCCCATGGCTTGGCTTTTGATGTATTTGGTGATCTTATGCACGCGGCCTTCAGGTTGTGTCGTGAAAGCTCTTGCAAGGCCTCCGGCCATCGTGCCTGATGTGGTGGCTCTCAAAGACATGCTGGAGGAGTTGAGGAGCCTCATGAGTGCTATGTCTTTAATGCGTTGTCTCTTCGGCTTGCCATGAAGACTATCGCGGAACTCAAAAGGAGCACTGGTCAAGTCCAGGACCCATCTTTACAATTCTGAGCATGCAATGGGACTTGCAAGAAAAGCACCATGCAAAGTGCTCCGAGGCTACCATTGGTCAGCTGCTAGAGGCCCTCCAGGATGTTCGAAGCACACAGCAGAGACTTGAGCGGCAGGCGGAAGGGGCGGGACGTGGCACCTCTCTTTGCCGCTTCCATTTACAGTTTACAGCTCGAGCCAGAGGCAGCGCTGCCACCTATGCCAACTCCAGTCCTGATTGAGGACACAGATTCTGCAAATGGTCCTCTGAATCTCAGGCACAGTCAAGCCGTTATCTCATTCTGCATCTGTGTCCGCAGCTGTTTCAAATCAGTTTCAAGCACTTTTAACCAGGGCCAAGGTCTTAGGCACGAAGCGCTCGTGACAGATCTGCGATTGATTGCTACACGGACGAGCCGCAATGGAGCGGCCGATCCACCGAGTGAAGGTGTTGGCTCATCATGCTGCTCCACTTCTGCAGCCCCGAGCCTGCGGAGACACAGACGATGACGTCAACCTAGACAGCCTTGCGTACGGTTTCATGGCTTCGCAGGCAGGATGCGACATGATGTTATATTTGCCGCTCATCACTGATCCATGTCGTGCTGTGACGGTATAGTCTCAAGCTTGCCGATAATTACTGGGTGATCAGCCGCATGAAGCAGATGGAGAGCAACATATCCAGGTGCCGCAAAAGTGCGGCGGAGGAGAAGGAGATGACAACAAGCTGCCAAGCCAGATCATGAGAACGACAGTGCAAAGAAGACCCGGCCAAAGCAGTTGAGAAGTGCGTTTCAATTCCATGAAGATTTTCTCTTCGTCTGAACCCATAATATCAGGCATGACCATCATAAGAGATCTTTTCCAATAACAAAACTAAGAGCAACAGTTTAAGCTGCTGATGATCTTCACTGCAAATAGAGCCCTACAGTTGTCGCTGTGGTCTGAAGGTGTGTTTTTCCTCACATCTTGTGGCTTGAGGAGCACATAAATGTTGTCACCGCAAACCACCCATACACGGTGATCCAAAAGCATATCTTTATCATGGCAGGCGCAGGCTGACCCTCTATCCCAAAAACTTCCAGCCTGTTGCTAGAATCATGCCGCCTGAACTTTTCTGCAATCTGCCGACAGGTGTGTTCCAAGATTTCATTGAACGGTGCCAGGGCAGGAACGCAGCACGGGCCTAGCAGCAGAAGCCGGCCTGGCTGTCCCTCCTTCTAGACCCCAAACGGAGTCCCAATTGTGCTGATGATGCTCCGCATCATGAGAAGCCTCTGTAAAAGACGATGTTCTTGCTACTTTCGATGATTTTGTAGGGCTTTAACGTGCGCTCCATACGCGAGCATCATCGGTAGAAAACTCGAGAGGGACCATCCGAAGCGCTCTGAACATGGACTTTTGCGCAAGCTACTTTTTCCTCACATGTTCCAGGTCTTGCAAATCAGAATCAAAATTGAGTTGAAATGGTGTGCGATGGTAGCCTCGGACTGTGTCTGGCCGAGGTGATGCACGCAGGTCCGCCCGCATGCTAGTCATGCGGCGCAGGTGCTGGCAAGAATAGGTCTTTCTGTGGTGTGTTCCTTGCAGGTGCTTATACCGTCACAAGCACTGCTGAGAGAACGGATTTTGCTGGGTTTAACGCAGAGTTAGGCTCCGGCAGCCCCGAGAAGCCAGCACCAGCGAGCAAAATTAAAATGGGGCCTAACTGCACCGCATGTCTCTTGTGATGCCGCACCTACGGATGTGCGGAGGTAAGTTGAGGTGTCAAGAAAGAGGAAATGAAGGCCCGATTGTGCTCATGATGCTGACCGGAAAAGCCTTCCACAGCAGGGGGCAAGCCCCAAAAACGCGTTCAAACTAGGCCTCTTAACTTTTGGCCTCCAACAAACGAGGACCCAGAGCTTTTCAAGGAGTTCGCAGCACAGGCATCAGCCCGTACAAACCATAGCTTATGCTACATGTGCATTTGCACTGGGCCATGACGGCCAAGCAGGATGTGAGGTCGAGCGGCTTGGGCCAGCTCAGCCAGTTTCCTAGCCGACAGGAAGAGAGCGAGAGTAGCATTTTTTGGGGTCCATTTCCCGGTTTGTGGCTCCTGCGCCCCTTGCCTTCTCCTTGAGTCAGACGTTTCTCGGCTCAGGCCCAGGGAGGGCCTTTGGGCTAGCGCAAACTTCCGTGCTTTTTTGTGTTGGGCTAGTCCTGAGGACTGACGATCCTTCAAAAGTCGGCTAAAACAGGCATGATCATGATCGCACACGGGGCGTGCCTCCCCGTATGCTGACTTCTTCAGCACAATTGGGGTGAATTTCGCCGTGCAACTGCACTTTGGGTCACACTTACGCCTTGTTGAGTGTTTGAAGGCGCTTCGAAGGCCCTCAGCCCCTCCAAGACCGCCCTCCAGGTGGCAGAAACCTCACAAATTCATTGCACCGCAATCAAACAAGGCCCGCATGGAGCTATGAACAACTTGCAAATCCATCTTGGAATATCTTGAAACTATCATGCCTGCTAGACCTGAAAAGCATCGCCTAAAAAAGCCTTATATACCCACGAACCCATCAACACACCTATCAAAAGGTTTAATTCCTACAACGGAAAAACAGGTAAACCCAATATGAAACGCGCAAAGAAGCACGATAGCCTCCATGAGACCAGCATCCAAGCTTCATGAACCCCATAATGCTTGGCCAAGCAGGCGTGCTCCAGCCTAACCCGTGAGAAGGAAGCAGAAACGGACCCCCAAATGATGCTGAAGATGCTAGCTGAATTTGCGTTTGGTTTGGGAACGGGTTTCGGGAGGGTCTCTTGAAGAAAATGAAGGTTCGACGATGCTGGGCGGGGGCGGGGTCGGTAGCACCGGCGCCACACTTCTAGACGCGGGCTGTGCCTTGGACTGCGGCGGCAGGGCCGGAGTTAAGAGCCTCTGGCTCATGCCACTGATCCACCAGGGACAACGTGTTTGAATATTTGGAATTAGAACCCCCTTGCTAAGCATGACCATTCACGAATTTGCGATTGGTAGATGAAGGCAAGTACATGCACTAAGTTGCGAATGTTTATGATTGTTGAAGACCATCAAGCCTGAACATGGGTGGGTGAGCATAGATTCAAGCAACATATTGAACATATCCACACAGACATTGACATTGCTCATTTGCTCTGCTTGAACTTGTGCTATGGTTTCTTGGTTCTGGGTTCCGCAGGCCCAGGTATGTGATATCCCACGGCAAGATTTGCTTGCAGGGAAATTCACTCCGCAAGCCTGGGGGGTGGCTCGACATGGCTGCTTCGGATGCAGGTTTCGGCAGCAGCACCGGCAAACCCCTCACCCCCCAAGAGCCAAAACAGCTTGACTTGACGCGAGCTTCTCCGACCTTGCCCTCTCATTCCAATGGAATCACCATCTGTGAAATGGGTCGGATTGACCCTTGCTGCTGTTGTTGCTGCTGGAGACAGGTAGCCATGAGAGTGTTTTACCAGAGAAGCCAGTCCCATGCTAAAGCAGGCATGTTTGAGGAACGTCTGCCCGTGGATGCTTCGTAGTGGATGGCCCCCAGGTCAAGACACACCCAAAACATCTTCACGAAGCAGTTACCCTGCAAGCTCTGCCAGATGTTGCCCCAGCACTTTTTGATACTTCGAGTCCATATACAGTATATAATTCCCAGAAGAGTCCCCAAAGCCGGCTCCTGCACTATCTGTGCGCGCCAGTACCAGTTGTTTTTGGATCAATAACAACTGTTCAGCGTGAACTCTCACCAGGGAAAAACTCCACGACAGTTCATGATAGTTCCTGACTTCACAGGCCCCCAGCGCTACAGAGGTCCCTCTCAATTGCGATGTTTACGTTTTGTTTTGTACGTGTTCTGCTGCGCTCTAAAAAAAGTTTGCCTGACAAGGGATTGTCACCGCTTGTTGTGACCATAGGGTGTTCCTAGCTAGAGTCGGTGGGCACACACCCTTTGCAAATTGACCTTGTATATCCTAACAGTGCCATACACGGCAGAAGGAAGGCGATTGAACATGTGGAGCCCTGAAATTGTTGGTGCCTTCACTTGCAAGGATTTTTGAAGCGAGGCCCAAGCTTCGCCAGCCATGCAGGAGAGAGGCAAAGAGCGCGTGTGTACTTTGTAGTTGAGGCTTTGTCCTGTGCTCCCTAATTCGACGAGCCACTAATGCAATGCCAGTCTCGTCTAAACTGGCTGATGGCGGGTATGGAGCTTTCATCGACGCCCAGAGAAAGAGGGAGAGAGAAAGCAACAGAAAGGGGCAGGCGCTAGCTGCACTTGTCACACTCAGCAGCCTTGTGCACCATAGCCCTCCGTGGCGAAGTTATGCTCCTCTCCAGGGGCTTTCATTTAATTCGGCTTTGCTCATCAGTCCAAGGGGGTATGCGGGGGAACTGATTTCGGATCCTGTCAGGGTCCAGGGCCAGACCCATTCCAGGAGGGGTTGGGGCTGTCGCTGGCCCGGGTCCAATTTGGGGGTCCATTTGCGGGCCATGACCTGGGTGTATGGTGGAGATGCTCACGACGGTCGCTCTGCGTGGCGGCCGAGAGGCAGCGTATGCTCATGATGTTGGCTTGCTGGGGCAACGAAGTGGCAGACGCGATGTTTTCGATACTAGATGAATGGCTCGGCAGGGTGATATGCCAAGCGAATGAGATCCTTTCTGACTATGATGCATGCTTCTACGTGGTCAGGCCCTCTTGAAAGCATAATCTTGCCTCATTCATAGTTGCTTTTCACTGAGTTTTTCGGTCAGTACTTGTTTCCAGCGGATTTCAGTAGGATGCCGAGCTGCCCTAGCCGCTTCTTCGTTTGGTGGAAAAATCAGTAAGACACATACATGTTTTCCAGTGTCAGGAGAGGGGTATGAAGAGAAATGCAGAAGACTCAGCATTTGAAAAGTCGACGCCAGGCTCTCTTTGCTGGGCTGGAGCTGGGTGTTTTCGATCGACTTGCAACGGGTCCAAGAAGTGTGACAGAGTTGGCAACGGAGTGTGGCGTACCCCGAAATCGCTTGCAGACCTTGCTCACCGCGCTTGTGGCCTCAAAATGCTTGCGCCTGGATTCGTCGCGGCGCTACAGCAACTCACCCAATGTGCAGAAATTCATGGTGTCATCCTCGAAAGCTTATTATGGAGATTATTTTAAACATCAGGTTGGCAGTTTATTTTACGCACGAATGGGACAGCTTGCAAAAGTGTTGAAAGGTGAAGAGGTGCTCAATTATTCACAATGGTTCTCTGATCCCGCAGTGGCTTCCCTATACACATCTGCTCAGCACAACGGAAGTTTGGCCACAGCCAAGTCGCTCTTCAGGAAGGTTTCGCTTGCAGGAGTTGGCAGTATGCTTGATGTGGGTGGAGGCAGCGGAGCTTTCTCTTTGCAAGCTGTGCGCGCCAACCCAGATCTGACAGCCACTGTGCTCGAACTTCCAGAAGTCTGCCAGGTGGGCAGGAACTTGATGGATCAGCAAGCGCTGCCTCAAGAAAGAACAAGGATCATGTTTAAGGAGCTGGATGCAACTTCACCAAGGTGGCCTATTGAAGCAGGGTCGCAGGACATGGTGCTGATGTCTTACCTCTGTGGTTCTGTTCCAGAGGACATACTCGTGCAGCTCATTGCAAACTCATCAACAGCGCTTCGCTTCGGTGGCCACCTGATTGTGCATGATTTTATGGTGGACGATGCCAGGGATGGTCCTGCTCTGGGAGCATACTGGGCACTACAGCATGTCACAGTCAATCCCAGTGGCCTAGGGCTCGCGCCCAGTGACATCGTGTCGCGAATGAAGGCTGCGGGTTTTCGAGACATAGAAGTCTTCGAAATGATTGCCGGCATGACAAAGGTCGTGCTTGCCAAAAAACCCTGACTCAAAAGCCAGCAGGGTTACTAATCCCAACTGCCAGGAGGGAAAAGAATCTGTTCCCATCTAGTGGCCCCAGCAACGACAAGCCCTTTGCTGCAAGAGAGTATTTCGGTGCGCAAAGGTGTTTTTAAAGTTTCGTTAGTGCTCTACAGAGTGTGCCAGGACGCGTCTGCTCTGCCCAGCATGCACTCCTCCCTCTCTCAGCTACTCTGCAGCAAGCAGCAGTAAGAAGTTGCCTGGTAGTGGCATTCTGTCCCACGTTTGAGTCACGGCGCGGAGGCCACGCCGAGAAGGGCACAGCTTGCATGACCAGGCTGCAGAGACATGAGCCGAATTGCTGCATTTCTAGGACTTGGTCGATGGCTCGGCTTACCCTTTAGCTCCTGCCAGGAGACTCCACGACCCTGGCCTGTTTTCGACACGGAACTTCTGAGGCTGCTCCTGTGGCCTTCGGCTTTAGCGGAGAGATTCTTTGAGCCGCGTATGTTAGGCACAAAGACCTGCCATCTTTGAGGACGCCTTGCTCATGCCTACATGAGTCCTTGTGAGATGCACGGCCAGCTGTTTGGGCTTCCCGTTTATGACAGGCTTCATTCTCTGTTTTTCATACATGCAGCTTGTCACCTTCGATCGCGGTTTTCAGTTTCGTCCACTGCTTCATTTTTTTGTGTATGTTGGGTAAATGGGTCAGCGGGGCAGTGCGAGGGGCCGGGATGGATCTTTTAGATAAGAGCAGCCTTTTGGCTTTTCCGTTTCCTTGCTGCAGGCAGGGTGGGTGCACATTGTTGTGACCCTATTTGCACAGATGGCGGTGGGATAAAATTCGCATTGTTCAGAACCCGTGCATTCTTCCAACACCATCATGAGGGACTTCGAGAGCCTTTGGTTGAATGAATGAAGTCACTCTTCGATCAGGAAGTCCGACATGGCCAGCCTCAAGGACAGCAGGGTATGTAGTTTCATCCGAACATCCGAGGGCGCACTGAACACTCATCTGCCGTGACCGTGACGCCGATGCGTGTTGGATCAAGGCTTCTCTAAGATTTGCTGTGCCACGCCGGTGCGACTTGCACCCAAAGCAATGCGATGCTTTCTGGTTCTGCTGGGTTTGGCAAGTGCGGCGAACACAACATCCGAGTGCTCCCCGGATCGGATCAGATCATCTGCATCACATCATGATTTTTGCCACTGCTTTCCGTGGTTGTGTTGATTGGGCTCTGTAGCAGTGTTTTCTCCTATCACTTGCTTTGTCCGCTCATCTAGGTCAGCATGGGCAACTCGGACAGCAGTTCTTCCAGGTTCTAGGTTTCATGACATGTTGCAGCATTTGTGGCACCAAAGAACATTCAGAGTCCCTGTACGTAGTTGGGCGGGGGCGGCTGATAGCGTCACTCCGAGTCATTCCACTAAATTGAATAAAGCCTGATACCGTAGCATCCGCAGCCCTGAAGGATCCCACTAGGATCCACTAGGGATGGTTCCATCTTCGCTGTGAGCGTGGCCAAGGAGAATGAATGAGCAGACTCAGAAGTGCACGTGTGACGATGGATGGCGAACAGCTGGTCTTACAGACACTGTACATTTCCTACAAGGCCATAAAGAGGGTGGGTGTGTTCCTATCAAACTTGTTGGCTTACACTCGGACTCAGCAAGAATTGCCATTGCGTGACATCGCAACTGTCAACGTCCAGGTGTTTGCTCGCAGTATAGTTGTCGAAGCGATGCTGAGTGCGTTCCGTGGCCGCAACTCAATGCAGTGGCCCAGTGGTCGCCAGGATTTTAGCAGCTTGATCTCTGGAGGCAGCTTTGCTCGGCATTCCCTCAGCCAGCTGCATCGTTCCAGGTGCGCTGGGCGCTCTGTTGGATTTTCTGTGGGGTGGAAAGTTGTCGTGCCTCAACAGGTTGGAACTGCTACTGCGGCTGGGGTGCAGCTTGGGCCAACTCCGGCGGAGGCTTTGAAACAGGTCCGAAAGAGATTGGAAGCGCAAAGTGTATGGGCACCTTGTCGTGAGATCTTGTGTTTGGGCTAAAACTGCTAGCGGTAGAGTTATTTCGATGAAGGCACGACTGTTGCAAGGAAGAGGGTCAGAAGTTGCAGCGTTTCATAACTTGTTTTTCAGCGTGCGGGGCAGTGCGCATGTCAACGTTTGCTGGGTTTTTGGCGAGCTGGCTGGAAGCTTTGCTTTTCACTTTTGTAGATTAAGTTTGGTTGCACTTTTTACCCGCGACGACGCATTCATTGAGCAGGGGATCCAAAGTGGGCTTGGATGTTTCAGGTTGGACTCTCCAAGCAAGCTGCGAGCTTCAAGACAGTTAGTTAAGCTTGTGTGCAACAGGTGCCAGGAACAGTTTTTGAGTTTGATTCGGGTTTCATAAAACCACACCGATCTGAGACTTAACAGCACGGCAGTTCATGGGCTACTCGATCTATTGCCTTTTCAATATGAAAAACATATGAGCAGCCGCATTCATTTATTCACGTAAGAGAGTAGAAGACTAGGCATGTCGATGTTTCTGCATCTCGGTTCAGCGTTCCTCTGGGTACTAGATAGAGGCTGCAGATCAAACGTGACAGCTGAGATAGGCCATACCCGTAGTTTCCTTTGCAGTGGCCCAACATCATGGTGAACGGCATCATGTGATTTGTTCAACCATTGCGAACGAGATGAGGGGCCGCGGATTCAAAATACCGCACAAGGTCCAGGCCACAAGTAACAGTCATCGCTTATGCACGCGAGAAAGCTGTGCAAAAGCATTCATTTTCGCTGGCGGCATCTGCGGCTCTGAAGCTCGCCCTGTCCGTCCTGTGGGTCAGCTCTGATCTCATTCCTGTTTCATTGAAGACAGCAGCAGGGTTTGCTTAGCGGAATTTAGCGGCTTGCCTTGCAAAGGATGTGTTGCGTCACAGCTAAACCTTTTTTTGTTGGTGCCTGCCATGCTGGGCAGGTCTGTTGAGTCCATGAGAGCGCATCTACGGTGCGAAAAAACATGGCATGTGGGCAAACAAATGGCCACCATATGCCGCCTGGCTTATGCTTGCAAAATCGAACCGACCCAAGCCAAGCCGAAACACCGAAGCCCGAACAGAGGCCGAACGACCATGAAAGACTCCCGCAAAGCGATTGAACAACAATGAAAATTCAGACTTCAAAAGCACGGCGGGCTGATACTGTTTTCGTATCTCGAGGAAGTGTTTCCATTTGCAGCACCGGGCCCCGCCAGCACTCAAAGGCCAAGCACACGTTGCAAACACGATGAGAAGAAGAATGATGGAGGCAGTCGGATAGCCTGCAACGGTTCACATCGCAGTCTCTGAGGCGTTGTTTATACCTTCTCTGTCTGGGCATCCAGAAAGATCGAGCTCTTGCTGCTTGGCAGGATTGAGTGTCCCACCCAGAGACCACTCATTCGCTGGAAACTCATGTTGCAAGTTGCTACCCAGATTCTGCAATCTCTGGCAATACTTCATCCCCATCGCGGTACTTCTTGCTCCGTTTGGGCGGAAGCGTGCCATCTGCGATCACCACCGGTGCCTTCGAGCGAACAAAGTTGACAGTCAGCAAGCTTGACTGGTGTGTGCTTCCTCGGCACGCTCGGCAACCATCACCTGAAGATGTGTGAACATTCAGTTGTATGGACTCAGGCCCAGCTTGTGGAACGGCATGCGGCGCTGCATGGGTGTGCAACTCGAAGCATCTGGAGATGTGTTCAGACTGATTATTTTGGAGAATGCAAGCCGCGAGAAGTTTCAGGCCACATCTGTGTCGTGGAGACTGTGTGATTTCTTCCCAGTACGACAAAGATGCATTCTTGGACGATCTGGTTCCTCTGCTGCATAGCGGACTTGATGTAAAGCCTTCTGAGTTCAGAGGACTGCACCCAAGTTCTAGGTGCGACTGGGCATTCAGGGTCCTGTGTCAATTGGTTTAGGCTCCTGACTAGCGCCTTTACTCAGGCTTGGAGCATTTTCGCCATGGAGCTCATGGTTTGGACCTACGCGTTTTGTGTGCCTTAGTTTCATTGCTGGGCAGGAAAATCACACGCTTGACAGTGAGACAACGCACAAGCGCAACGTCGCGCGCCTGCAACGACTTTGCGCAATCCAGTCTTGCAGGGCGTCACTTACCTGATGGTGATGTTCATGTGGTCCATTGTGCTTTGGTACCTCTGAAGCAATGTCAGAAAACATGTCTTCTGCGAGACTACACTGCATGCCAAGCGCATTGGCAGAATCAAACAAGCAATCATGCTTGTTGATCTCTGTGTTTCTGCTAGCTGCTACCTGACAGATTGCAGGTTCTGCAGAGAACCTTCATTCACCAAAACCATGGTTTCTGACTTGAATTTTCTGATTCCTGGAGCTGCATGAATGTACCTTATCAACGTGCGGTCCCAGCACAAACATTTCAGAATACATCTCTTCATAATATGGAAGCTGAACAAGTCTGGAATGGGTCTTGAATCCATGACTGTTTCCATTTGGCGCGTTGGACCTTCGCTTAGGCTTGCTGTCATGCTTATTCTGGTGGCCGGCACGCTCGTCACTGTTGGCGCCTGCTGTGCGGAACTTTGTGCAGGCTGCGCTTCAGGCGCAGCGTAGGCTTGCGAGTCTTGTTGTGTGATTGTGTGCCTCTGCATGTCGGGTGCAATATGACTCCTGCAGGCTGTGGAGGTGAGTGTGCTGGAGGTTGTGATAGCTGCTGCTGCGACTGCTGCATGTTGTCAACGTATCAGCATGGCCCAGTCGAGGTCCCATGATGCATCTCTGCATGATTGCCATCAGTGATCTTCACTTGCTCAAGCTCAAGTGCATGCGCGTGCCTGCCTGCGGCGTTCCCTGGAAGGCTGACGCGTTTTATTTTGCTGGCACCTTCCCAAGCGACCACTACTGGGCCACCGGCATCTTTGTTTGCTCTGGGCACTTTTTTTGCAACATGCAAGACCAAAGGGTTGTTGAGCTGGATCGGATTCTTATGCAACAAGGATATTCCGGAAGCGCAGACTGCGACTGCTGCTGCTGCTGCAACTGCAGAACTGTGTGCTTCCCACTGGCTTGGTTGTTCTACGTCTTCCCGGCCGGGTGTGCCACCGTGTGTATTGCACTTCCTGTCCTGTCGCAGAGTGGGCTTGTCCGTGTCCTTTGAATTTGATTTCTGGAGGTGCTGCCGGAAAATGCCTGGGGTGGCTTCTTTGGGCGTCTGGGAAAGCTTTAGTTTCAGATGCTGATCGCGCACTGACAGGCCAAGCAAGGAGGCAGGACTTGACACGGCAGTCTGCGGCATCCACTCCTCCCTCGCTGTGCTTAATCCGTACTCAGTTGAGCGGCGGCATAAACCCCTACGAAGGACTTTTATTAGAGGGTTCTCATATCGATGGTGGATGTTGCAAAAACTGGTGCGCGCGTCAGTGCGTGTCAGCATTTTGAAGGCACATTGTCCGCGATAGCTCGCGATCTCGGAAATCGTTTGCAAATCCTGGCTGTTTGCGCACGCCACCCTTAGTAGAATCCAGCTGATTAGTATCATTATGGGAAACCCCTTGCAAATCATGGCTGCTTGTATGAGGCACCATGAGCAAACCCAAGTCATTAGTATGGGCAACCCCATGCAAATCTTGGCTGCTTGTATGAGGCGCCCTTAGCAAAATCCAAGTCATTAGTATGCGAAACCCCGTGCATACAATGGCTTTTTGTATGAGGCACCCTTAGCAAAATCCAAGTCATTAGCCTGCAAATCATGGCTTTTTGTATGAAGCCCCCTTTGACAATCCCAGCTGTTAGCTTGTGAACCCCCCCCAGACTTGTCAGCGGAGCCTTTGTTAAATCCGAATCATAAGAGTGGGAGAAATTGCTGAAATCATGGTTGCCATTATGAGGCACCGTTTCAAAACTCCCAGTCATGCGTACATTGCGTTTTCGATTCAAAGCGTCGCCTCGCAGTTCCTTGAGCGCGACAGGTTTTGAATAGCTATACACGTTTGTACATCGAATTGAAGAAAAATCAGGTGAAAATTCCAGGAATGATGCCGAAATCCGCGACAGTTTCGCGATAGATCCGCGTCAGTGGCGCGTCAGCTAAAGTTCCGGCTGTCCAGCAGCAAATCCCCTTCCAAGTCACGCGGCCTCTTTGCAAAACCATTGCGTGCCTCCCAGCGGCCAAAAAGAAACGCAAACTGCAAGCTTTACGCGGGGAAACGAATCTGACAGCGACAGCAGCACAAGCTCATCATCGTCNNCATCAAGTTCTTCATCTGCTACAGATGCATAGGACACTAGCGCAACACTCCAAGCGTTGGAAATGGAATTCGGCTGTGCGAAGCTTCAGACAGCTCCAAGGGTCCAAACGCAGATTCTTTGAAGGCCATACAGGGGTTAGGGGGAAGAGCTACTTAGCGCTTCGGGCAGAAAGTTTACAGGGAACAGGGCTCCTTGAAAGTATGGGGCGA